ACGCGCAGACTCCCCACCCCGCCCGGACCCGCGGCGCGCCTCTCGTGGGGCCAGTGTGGGTGGGCCTCCGCCGCGCGGCGCTCGCCCACAGGCCCCTCCGTAAGCTGTCAGCGGCGGCGGGGAGCGACTGACCTCCAGACCACCAGGGACGGTCACGAGCTGTGAACGACAGAGAGAAGGGCCACAACGAAGGGGGCGGGGCGACGAGTTGGGCGTCGCGCGGTGTTGACGCGCGGGGGCGGGGGCGGGTGGCGTCAGCTGTTGCCGGGCGGCTGGGCAGATTGCGCGGCTGCGGGAGACGGAAGTGAAAGTGGCGCTGGGACGGGTGCAGGTGCCGGGCCACGCGCGAGAACCGTGCCCCGCGGCGCCAGCAGGCGGACGTCTCCCGCCCGCTCTGCTCTCGCTCGGCAAAAGCGCTTTCAGTGGGGGCTCTGTGGAGCTCCCAGCGCCCACGGCAGTGTCAAGGCGCGGGGGGCCCCCAGCATCCCCTGGGGTGGCGCCTGGGTGAAGGCAGCGGTGGCAGGGGCAAGCCCTCCGGTCCCGCCCCGAGTGGGAGGCAGCAGGTGGCCGATTCACGCTCAAATTCGGAAGCGGCCGGGCAAGCAGGGGAGGTGGAAAACGAGGTGCCGGACGCGGGGCGCCCTGGGACAGGACGGGGCCCGTGCGGGCGAAGGGTGCAGTGCGGAGCCGACCCCGAGAGGGACAGGAGGGCGGTGTCAGGGGTCCGGAGGAGCCCGAAGGCCGAGGTCACCGTGAGCCACAGGACACCGACTCGGGGCCCTGGACCGCGTTTCTCTGGGAAACTGCCCTGCCCTGCTGAGGACGCGGGGAGCAGCTGCCCAGGACTTCCTGGGGCTGCTCTGCCCCCGGCCCGGCAGGCAGAGGGAGTTGGGCAGGGTCCTCCCTCCCGGAAGGCCAGTCAGCCTGCACGTGGGCTGCACCTGCAGGGTCTGCAGGGCAGGGTTGGGGGACTTGGGTTTGGGAGACAGAGGGTCTCAGAGGGTCAGGGGCCGTGGGGGGCCAAGGGTGAGGGTCCTAGAGGGACTGGTGGGGGGGCCTCAGCAGTGTCTGGGAGAGCATGTAAGGGTCCCAGAGGGCTCTGCAAGAAGGCTGGGGAGCCCCAGGGGCGGCAGGGCTCTCTGCACAGGGACTTGAGGGGAGGGGCCGGAGCTGGAGGGGCTGCCCTTCTGGGGGAAGCCCTGGAAAGGGGACCAGGCACACCAAAGACTCTGGGCTCAGAGCCGTTGCCCAGCCTCTAGTGTGTCCCCCAACCCCACCCAGGTGGCACCCAAGCTGCGCGGCCCAGAGGCTCAGCTCTGCAGACAGGTGAGCTGAGCAAGGTCAGGGGTGCCCTCCTAGCAACTAGTCAGTCCCTGCCCCCTGCCAGTGACACCCACAACCCACAGGTGAGCAGTGGGCCCCCGCCAGCTGTTCCCCCCGGGGCCGCCTGGTTCACCCCAGCAGGCCTAGCAGAGGTGCACCTGAGGAAGGGGCTCTTAGGTCCCAGCACCCCACCTCAACCTGGAAAGGACACCCCATGCCTCCATGCCTCACCCCAGGAGTTTGGATGCCCAGAGCACTCGCCAGCACCCCAACAAATACCCCCATCATCAGGGGTGAGGGCTCCCTAGACAGCTACTTCTCTTTCTGGAACATTCTCTCAAGGACCCCAGCCAAGTCCACTCCAGGGGGCCCAGACAGCCTGTAGTGGGACACCCCGAGTACCCCCCCCCCACAGGTTCTGTGGAGGTGGATAAGGGGGCTGCCTGGTGCACTCCAGCACGTCCAGGCCCTGTGCCGAGTCTGGGTCCCTGCAGTAGCTGAGGTGACGCGGGCACAGAGGCCCCAACTGAGCCCACAGCTGAGCCAGACGGTGTGTCCCCCGGGCCCCCCAGGTGAAGCATACCTTATGGGTGCTGGGCAGAGGGCTGACAACCACCCACAGAGTCCACCCCCACCAGGAGGGCAGCCCCACCACACGGCACCCCGGGTTCTTCAGCTGCAGCCCCAGCCCCAGTCCTCGCGGTTCTGCAGGCCTGGGCCTCACCTGATGAGCCGTCAGCACCCCGCAGCCCTGCCCAACCTGAGGGCAGCACCCCTAGCTGTGTGCACCAACCCACCCCACGCAGAGGGCCCTGCCTGCCCCAACTGGCCCCTGGTAACAGGGCTGGGACATCTGCTGGACCCTGGCTCTTGGCCAGGCCTGTCCCGGGGACCAGCAGTCACTGGAGGGAGGTGGCCTTGGGTCCAGGGAACCTGCTGGGGCGGGCACATCGGGGTCTGAGGGCTTCGGGGTTTCCCAAACCTGGGTGCTTCCAGGCCATCACCCCCACACCCCAGCAGGGCTCCCAGAGCCCCAAGGGTCCTGTCTGGACTTCCGAGCAGCTCTGCCTTGCACTGGGACGGGGGGCAGCTGGCTGCGGCTGTGACCGGGGCATAGGGGAAGTTCATGGCTAGGGCTGCCCGTGGTCAGACAGGGTGCAGACAAGCCCGCTGCCGAGCGCCATGCTCCTCTGCGGCACCCCAGAGTGGGGCCCCCTTCTGCCCAGGTAAATCGGCCCAGAGGAGCTGCAGGGCCTGGGTGCAGCCAGGGTGAGTGCAAGAGCCAGAGATGCGGATCCTGGTGCGCCCTGTGCCCCATGGCCATGGCCCCAAAGCCCCGGCCTGCCTGCCATGAGGGGGCGCCCAGGTGCTGGAGAGGCCCGGTGTGTGCTGGGGTGTGGGCTTGGGGGCGCTGGGGTGGACCCACAGGTACCTTGAACCTGAGGGATGGGTGTGGCTGGCCGGAGGCCAGCAGGAACCCCTGGGTTGGGGACCAGAGCCTGGGACCACTGTGCAGGCCGGTGGGAAGACCCAGTGCACCCCGCCGCCCAGGCCCTGGGCTGCCCTGCCCCTCCCCACGCCCCCTGGGGCTGCAGGCGCCCGTCAAACTGGCCTTGGCGTC